CTTTTGCAAACCCTGTGACCTCTTGCACTTGTTGTAAAGTAGCTTGAGACATGTCAATCTAATACACCTCGCTTTAGAAGGGTTTAGTTGTAGCCTGTAGAATTTTGAAATAGAATGCTTTCTCATATCTGTATTCATCGACATTATGGGTATATATGCCTGTAGAATTTTGAAATAGAATGCTTTCTCATATCTGTATTCATCAACACTATGGGTATATATACAAGTATAAAGGTCCTATAATATGTAGAGTAATATCTTACATTAACTATGTAATATCCTACATTAAATACAATATATATTAATCCTAAGATTTAGCCTACAAATATCTCCTAGTTGTTCTCCAGTTTTCACATACTCTGTAGTAATCAAACCTTGTTGAGTTTGTAACAATTGGAACTATACATCCCAAATTGCATTCCCCAGTTTACATTTCTTTGTATGTATATATCCTTTGAGTTTTGTTAATAGATGCAAAATGCTAAAATTAAGGACCCCATCAGTAGTCACCTCAAGTCCCATTAGGATGCATGGCATTTTACATCTGATTATGAATTTTTTTTTACCTGCTCGCTTTTCTTTTTCCTTTTAATTGAATTTGATTTCTTGCCCACTGCTATGTGTAGGTTGGTTGGGATGAGTCAACAGCAGGTGAGAGGCAGCCAAGGGTATCATTGTGGGAGATTGAGCCTTTAACAACATTTCCAACGTATCCATCCCTATTCCCCCTCAGATTGAAACGCTCTTGGCATTTTGGTTCCTCATCTTTGCATGGTAATTCTTTCTGAGCTTATTCCCTTAAGCTCCTTTCCTAAGGCTTGGCATTTATTTTAAATTTAAGCTTTGAGATTGATTAACCTGTTCTTTCGGGGCTGTGGAATTATGATTGTCGGCTGCTTTAGGCAAAGTGTGTTTGATAAATCTTCTTTGGGGGTGGGGGGGGGGGGAGAAAGGGGGAACTGAAGATAAAACTTTTCCTGTTTTACAAGAGCCTTGATGAGAAGGATGGCTCTCCAATGTGATAAGACATGAAGATTTAAGTTTGATGGTCAGGCTTTTCTTTTCCATTTCTTTGGAGGGTCTTTGGAGGTTCATCTCTCCATACTCAAGTTCAAATGTGTGTCGGACATGGGTACTTCAAGAAATATGACGAGTTGAAGTTACTTTAGAGATATTTCAAATGCTCTGCCAGTATTAGAATCTATTAGGTGTACCAATTTCATGTACAAGTGATTTACAAAATCAATGAAAATGATTATCGTGCGGCTAATGTCTGGCTTTCACTGCTTACCTTAACTTGGACAGTTTGATCATGATGCATGGGTAATATGATTGCTGTGTTCTTGCAGATAACAGAGATGATATATCTAATGGATTAATGTGGCCAAGGGGGGGATCTGGAGAGCAAGGACTGCAACCGCTGAATCTTCAGCCTTTCTGCTCATACCCATGGATGCAGCAGAAACTAGATCCTAGTTTCCCTGGAAATGATTATAATCTGCAGTACCAACACATACTAGCCAATGGATTGCAGAACTTTGTGAGTGGGGATCTGCTGAGACAGCAGTTGCAGCAATCTTACGCTCAACAGCCAAGCAGCCATAGTTCACTTTTGCAGCAGCAGCGAGCTGCTTCACAGTCAGTTCTACATGACGTTATGCAGGCACAGCAATCCCAAATTCTAACCGGGAGCTTTCCCCCAGTCCTTGGACAAGAAGTGAGCAATCACTCAGAGGAGCAGATTCAGCAACAGCATAGCGTGATTCAAAGTGATCAGCTCCAGCAGAGGCAGCTGGTGAATGAGCCTTCATCATTTCTGAAACCAGATTTTATCGACTCAGCAAAGTTCTCAGAATCTGGTCCCCCTCTTCTGAATATGCTGGGTTCATTGTGTCCTGAAAGCAGTGCAAATCTTTTGAACTTCTCCACAACTGGTCAGTCAATGCTAGCTGACCAGTTACCCCAACAGTCCTGGGCCCCAAAGTATACCCATTCACAGGTAAATGCCTTTGCTAGCTCAACATCTGGTCCACAAGTTTCTCCTGGAAAAGATTCTATAACAGAGCTAGATATTGTTAACACGGATGCTCAGAATCCTACTCATTTTGGTGTTAACAACGATTCCTATGGCCCTCTACTTCCAACCTCAATGCCTGGTTTCACGACATCTTCAAGTAAAGCTGATGTGCCCTCAATTCCATTGGGGGATCCCTCATTCCAGAATCCTCTGTATGGTTTCATGCAAGACTCCTCAGAGTTGCAGGGCACAGGGCTATTTGACCCACCGACTCCACCTCCAACATTTGTCAAGGTATATGGACTGTAGTTTCTAATGTGGATTTCGTATTCATCATACTTCTCTCAAGGTTACAATGATGATCTATGTTTTCGTTTTTTGGCAGGTTTATAAATCGGGGTCGGTGGGACGCTCATTGGACATCTCCCGGTTCAGCAGTTACCATGAGCTGCGAGAGGAGCTGGCTCAGATGTTTGGAATTGAGGGGAAGTTGGAAGACCCTCTTAGATCAGGCTGGCAGCTTGTTTTGTCGACAGGGAGAATGATATTCTTCTCCTTGGAGACGACCCATGGGAGTAAGTATTTTCTATTGTTATAAATTAGTCAAACTCCTCATGCAGAGGCACGCATGCATGCGCGATATGCTGTTAGATTGGATTCACAAGTAAAGAACTCGGCATTGCATTTCAAAACATGTTCTCTGCATACTCATGAAAATGAGATCATTTTTATAGTTGGACAGATATCTTCAGTCATCCGACCTTTTTACTATTGATTTCTAAAGTCAAATCAACTAAAGTTCTGATCGTTTCAGGTTAGTCTTTTGAATTAATTTAGGTTTGTACCGGTTAGGGTTAGGGTTCGGGCTAGGCAAATTTGGGTTGTTGACTTTTCCTGATCATAGATAGGTAGTGTTCGGATTTTGGTCAACTTTGCCAGCAGTTGTTTAAACTAATTGGAAAAATACAGCCCTCTCTTTTAACTGCTTAAGCAACTGTTTCATCATTGTACATATCCTTTACAATGGAATTGCAACATCGACATCGCAAGACCGAATCACGTGGTTTGTGTTAAAACACGTTTAGCTTTTCCTCGTATTTTGATGACATTACATTTGTTTATCATTTCGGCATTTAAGCGCATGAAAGCATGGTTAATTTTTGTTTGGTTAATGAAACTGCAGGGCATTTGTGAATAATGTTTGGTACATTAAGATACTTTCACCGGAGGATGTGCAGAAGATGGGATAGCAACAGGTGGTGCCTTTTAGCTGATTCCGAGGTTGAAAGATGAACAGCACCAGCACCGGCATTATCACTGGTGGCCGAGGTCGTATCTTGGTCTGTCTACTCTTAACATGTTGGTTGAGTTGAATAAGAACCAAATTCCAGTAAATTTTGCAGTATCCACTCTTGGTGTGAAGAACCTTCCCACTATTGTGTAGGACTGTTGTATGCTATTTGAATTGCAAGCACGATCACATATCAGAATCAGACTCGATCTACTATGACTTCATTATATTGTAATGGTTCTAATGACATCTGCATGCTTTTCTTACAGAGTTCTATTCAGGGCCGGCCCTGAGCATAGGTTAGGGGTGATCGCCTAGGGCTCAAGTTTGAGGGGTCTATTTTCAAAAATATTTTTAAATTTAATAATTAAAAAATATTTTTAAACATAATTTTTTATTTTAAACACTCAAAAATATGATAATTCAATGGGTCCCAATAATTAAAAAATATTTTAAACATTATTTTTTATTAAAAAACTCGAAAACATGGTGATTCAATGGGTCTCATTTGTCTTCTTGTCTTCTTGTCATCACCTTTCGGCCTAGGACCTTTAAAATATTAGGATCGGGTTGATTCTATTGCTCATTTTTTTAGTTATTGATATTTGATCTATTAATCGATTATCTTAAATAATTGAATTGATCGAGTCTTATAATTATACCTGATTTACTCAAATCTATTTAATATCGATCAATTTTGTCGGCTGTTGACTTGTATTTTATAATTTTTAAATTATATTTAAATTAAAAAAATGTCATTTATATTTATATAACAAGATTGTTGGGGAAATTCTATTTTTGGGATATTAATAGATACATTTTGTTTTAAAATTTTAATTAATGTAAAATTGTAATTAATATATTCATCAAATATTATTTGTAAGTTAATATAATAATGTAACAAAAAATGCTTCCAATGACACTAAGACCGACAGATAGAATGGCTAAACATTTTTTTCAATAATAAGAGTAATTTTTTATGGCTGTGTAATAATAATAGGGTAAGCTACACATTTAGTATCCTAACGAACACTTTTATTTTGTTTTGGTCATTTAACTATTTTTATTTCAAAATCATACCTATTGTTATATTTTAGTTTTATTTTGGTCACTCACAGTTAAATAATTAACGGTGAAGTTGGCGTATTACCATAAGATAATGTCATGTTATCATTGAAAAAAAATTAAAATGTCAGGCAATACTGTTAATTTTTTAACGACAAGTGATCAAAATGAAATCAAAACATAACATTAGATATGATTTTGAAAAAAGTAATAGTTTGTGACTAAAACAAAATAAAAATGATAGTTTGGGAGTTAAACGGTAGTTTATCCAAAATAATATTTGTAATAGGGAAAAATAAGGGTAAATTATATATTTAGTCACTCAATTATTATTTTTAAATCAAACCTAAAATTATGTTTTGGTATGTTAAAAAAAACGATGATGCTAAAGTGTCATAAGATAATATCAAATTATTATTGAAAAAATTAAAAAGAAAGTCGGTAGTTCTATTTATTTTTTAACTATTGGTGACGAAAACATAAGTATAGGTATAATTTTGAAAATAAAATAATTGACTGATCAAAACGGAACTAGAGAAATAGTTGGATTACCAAACATACTAATTTACCCAAAAAAGAAAAAAGTAAGAGGTTTCCGCTCGCCCTACTCCTTTCCCTTTGCTTAATACTACAGAGCAGGGGGGAATTTCGCTAATCTGAAATCTCGAGTCTCAATCCAAAGTAGGAATGGAGGCTTCTTCTGTCACCGAAAATTCTTCCACTGGCAATGACCACGACCAGGAGCATGTTTTGAATCATGGGTTGGTTTTAGGATTTTTTTTAATTTGTTCTTTTTTTAATTAATATTGATTTGCCGAATTCTTCTACTGACTGGATGAGAGGCCATATTTTGTTGCGATTTTAGAGGCACGGACTCGAACCCTGAGATTAATCGAGAAGAAGAACAAGAACGAGAAGAAGAACAAGAACAAGACGAAGAACAAGTTAGGCGCACACTGCAAGTTATTTCCACTACTGGGAATTTTTTGTATGGGATTTTTCGTTTTCCCTTCATTTTTATTTGCATATGGATTTGGTGTCTTCATATTATACAATATTGTGAACCAACATCTTGGTGATTCATAAAATTTAGTTGGGGTTGGCCAACATACACCCTTGAGTTCATGAAATAGCGCTTCTTCATGTTGTATGTAACTTATCTTGGCCAACAACTTCAAAATTTTGTATATAGGAAATGTTATTTCCCTTTTCGTGCTTAAGGTTTTTTGTGTCTCTAGAATCATGTGATGGAAAGGAAGGTTAAGTATTCTCAGGCTTGGTAATTGTTTTTCTATTCCTAAGTTTGATGGCATTATGTAGTCACAAGAGCACTACTGCTGAAGATTTAGTGATGTAAATTGTATCTCTCAGTTGGACTTCCCTGATGAAATAGTAAGTTAAATCAAGAGATCAATAATAGAAACACATTGGGGGAATAATTAGGGTTGTATGGGATCTCAGGACATTTGTACATCTCCCGACACTACCGAATAATATGGTCGAATATATATGCAAAAGCTTTTCCAAAAATAGAATTACACGCCTTTATAGAGGAATTTTTTGGAGCTCTTATTAGGTTAAAACTTACAACCGAGGAAGTGTTTTCCAGACTCCATCATTTACCATTTTTAATTCTGAAGCAATACAAGAGAGTTCTTCATCTTTGCATCTTATTATGTGTGAGGTGATCCAACATAGCCACTTGTCAGAATTTCATTTAGAAAATATTTACTTAATATACAAAAATATTGTAGTAAGATATAATTATCAGCCTAATCAAGTTGCTAAGCTAAAATTTACTCATTTCCTTTCCAAACAGGAGTTTGTTTTAAAGGCTTATTGGGTCTTCCATCATGGACTCATCCTTAGAAGGTTTGAGCTGGCTTATGCGGAGGGAATTTGATGGTTTATGAGAACAGGATTGTGTGTCTATTAGTTTTTTTAAATCCCAAAAGTTGTCTGTCACGTAAAAGTTGATTCTTCCACATATAGTTTTATGCATCGTTTATTTTGGCAAACATCGGTTTTTATGGTGTTATGGGAATATGAAAGAGAACAAATACAGATTTTACTGTAATTCTTATTTTCTGTATTTGTTGCAGGCATAATTGGGATAAACTGAAGAGCATGCTATCCTTTCAATTGAAACTGGTTATTTTCATGTTCTCTAATCACTTTGACAATGTTATAGAATTCTTATTTTCTGTAATTATTATGGATTTACTGCCCTTTGTGTATAGTGAAATTTGATAGTTTCTTTTTCAGCAGTATTTCTTCATCTAGATTTTATTCTTACTTCTTTCACTAATTTATCATAAGGTTCTATCGGAGTATCCTGAGGCAAAAATGACAATTGATGAACAAAATGCTTCACTAGGTGAAACTTACCTAGGGTTGGTTACACGGCTAGATGAAGGTACTTCCCCAACCATGTTTACTCATGTATCCCAAATGTGAGCAATAAAGTTTCCATTAAAGCATTCTTGTGATTTTAGAAGGAAAAATAACCTTAGCGATGGGTGGGCTCATTTTTGTTGTTTCTAGATGTGAATTAGTTGACAAGGTTGAAGTTGCATTTTTTTGCTGCTATGCATCAGATGATATTCATAGGGACACCCTTGAATCTTTCTCTCATTCTTGAGCTGGAAAATAACAAAAGCATTCTTGTAGATGCATATTACATTTCCTCTTTGCTTAGTGATTCCCCTGGAAGGTATTACTAGTGCACTAACTGATGGTATCCTTGGAGTCATGTTCTGGATTATAGGTAATTAAATAAAGAATAGTTCATGTTCTCTCTCTCTTTCTCTAGCTTTCTGAAATAGGAAATAGAAAATTATGATTCTTGGGTTGATTTCACTTTCATTTGTCTGTTAGATCAAGTGTTAACTAGTAGTAGTTTAAAAAAGTTCCTTTAACTCTATTACTCTATTACCTTTAGAAAATAGCGAATAACTGCCTCCCTCGACTAAGGGGAAAAGAAATCAGATTAGAATAGAGTCACAAGGAGCAGTGATAATAGCTAACGTGCATATTTGTATTGATAGTGGGATGGAGGAGAAACAATGATAGAATGCTGAGATGATTCTTGTATTTTGCCGTAGTAATTTTTTGTGTATTCATTATCATGTAGAGTCTTTCTGATTATGTGAAGCAATTGTTTCAAATTTCTGTTTTGGTTTCTTCTTGTTCTAGTATTCATTTTTTCCCTTTTGCAGAGCTTCATTGTTTCATCGAGGGCCCACCGTTTACCCTTCAAAGAATCTGTGAGGTGATTACTTTGTAGTATATTACATATGTTGATATTGTTACTTTCTCTTTGTTCTTCATTTACCACGATAATCATCTTTTTACTAATAATTTTAGTTATTCCTAAATTGGTTTTGTTTATTTGCATTTAGGACTTCTTATTTCAATTGACACTCTATGCAAATGCAGCCAGTACTGAATTTTTATGTAAAAAGAGTAATTTTAACATTTTGTGATATTACAGCGACTAACTTCAAACTTAAAACTGTCTAGTATGGGATCTAACAAAATTCTTGTAGTGATAAATGCCGTGATGTCTTTTCTATTTACTCTATCAACATTAATTTATTTTAGCACAATTTTATGCTCAACAGATCTTACTTGCTGCAAGAAGCATCTATCCAAAACTCTCGAAGCTTGCCCTAGCACTAGAAAAGGTATGGTAATAAAGAGTTGCTGCTATTTAGTTAACATTGATTGAAAGTTTTTGAGACCTTTTGAATTTTGTTGATTCCAATGAGTGCAAATCATGGACCTATATATGATGATTGAGTTTATGTATTTTTAATTTGTTTGGCCATGCCTATAATTCTTTAAAATTGTCCAATGTAGTCTTTATGATCAGGGATGAGGCCAGAATTTTGGGGGACGAAATTGAATTAAAAATTTGGTGAATTCAATTTTACCATTGTATTAATTTAAATTTTTACAATTTCTAATGGGACTAAATTTTGAGGGGACTGAGGCCTTTACCTGCCGCCTCTTCTGTTGTCCCTGTTTGTGGAGGATTGAGATATGCTAGTTGAGAGATCAAGTTTTCTAGGACTTTATGTTACAGTTTTATTGTACTCTACATGTATTTAGGCTGTCCTACCTCATGTACTGGCTGTTTTTCCATAGTCCAGATCAATCTTTGCCACTATTTCCTTTGATAAGATGTCAATGTTCCATGGACGATGGATTCTTTCCAGATAATTGAATGAGTTTAACAGAAGAAATCAAAAGGATATCAGAAATCTGATATGGGGTTTTTGATCAAAGAATCAACCAAGTGCAAACCAGCTAGTCAACCATTTTTGTGTTTTCTTATTCCATTAGTATATGTTATGTTTTTCTACTTAGTGTCAAGTATTTAATTTTCAATACTTTTTAGAATTTGCTGGTAACCTCTGCATTGACGGCCTGCACCAAACCCTACCCGGAAACGATGCCACCAGATCCAGAACCAGAAAAGGCAAGTGAAGAAGCTCAACCAGAGCCTAATTCGATCCAAAATGGGGTTGAACCTATGGAAGGAGAGAGGGATGAGGTAATGACAGAGGCGGAGGCCGATATTGAAGAGATGACCATTGATATGGATGCCTTCCAAGAAATTGTGGGACCATCCGAAGCAAATTCCACAGCGGGCTGAGAATTCTTAGGTCGATAAACACCTCAAAATTTTAAAGCTTTCGGATCCGCATGTTGCTCCCATATAGTGGTGACTACTCTGTTGTATTTATGCTACAATTTTGAAGGAACCTTGAGGAAGAAAGCAACAATGGGTCAGGGAATTTGATCCTTTAGAGGGATGGAAACGAATATTTTCCCTCCATGCTATATTTGTAAGATTGTGAACATGTGACAGTGTATTTGTTGAACCATTTAGCGTGCAAGTGTTTTTAATAGTTTGTTGTTGTGGCTTTGGTAAATGATTATAAGCATATTCATCGAGTTCTACAACCATTTCTCTCTTGCAACAGTGTTTAATGGATGACAAATTGATTATGATGGTCATACATTTTAGAAATGCCCAAATGCTAATTTTATATGAAATTTAAGGATCAAATTAATATTATTTAAAATTCAAAATTAAAATTAAGAATTAACTTCTTTTACTAATATGATATATTATCAAACAAATGGTATTTAACATCTCAATAATTAAAATATTATATAAAGATAATTCAATAGATTAAAATAGTATAAATTAATAACGTAAATGATTAAAATGTTAATTTTGAAATTTAGTTATAAAAAATAAACATTAATGAAACAAAAGGTATCATTTCGGTATTTCACCCAAAAGATTAAATAAATATATAAAGGATGGAGCTTCGGGTGTCGGTTCGGAATGTCATTAGTTAAAAAGAAAACAGCTACAAGAGCTGCTGAAGCGGTAGCGTTAACAAGCTTTCTGGAAACCCTAGCTACCAAACAACCTCCAATCGCCATCTCTTAACTCTTGCTTCTCCAGCCGCCGATAAGAGCTAAGGTATGCTCTTCTGCTTCTTAATCTTCGTTTTCTTTTCACCTCTGAGTTTCCATCTGTTTTCGATGATTTGGAAAATAGTATGTCGACTGCACCTACGGATCTCACTGTTCAGAATAAATTACGATAATATTTAGATAGTTCGTAATTAAAAAATTGAAGAACCTGGCTGATCTTTCGTTCTTTGCGCTCTTATGCGGATTGAGTTTGGTATAATATAGTTGAAGGGAGTGTTGTTAGATTGGATATAATCAACTTAACGTGGACTTTGGATTATTGACTAAATGATCGCTTAATTTCCTAAAGCTGCCACTGCTTCCTCTTGTTTCTTTGCCTATCCACTTGTCCTTTTCCATTTTCTTTTTGTATTTTTTTGATTTTGAACAGTGTAAACCTCTAAGTTAAAGATTATTCATAATCATTTTTCTAGCTTGTGGCCTATGTCTTTGCTGTATTTTTTCTTTACAGTCTATTCTCTCGCTCTTCGCAATAGGAAATGGCTGACGGTCATGGAACTGACAAGAATATCGAGATCTGGAAAATAAAGAAGCTAATCAAGGCACTGGAATCTGCAAGGGGAAATGGGACCAGCATGATATCACTTATAATGCCTCCTCGTGATCAGATATCCCGTGTCACGAAGATGTTAGGCGATGAATTTGGAACTGCATCGAACATCAAAAGCAGGGTCAACCGTCAGTCTGTGTTGGCTGCCATTACTTCTGCTCAACAGAGGTTGAAACTCTATAACAAGGTGCCCCCTAATGGGCTGGTGCTCTATACCGGGACGATTGTTACTGAAGATGGCAAGGAAAAGAAGGTGACTATTGATTTTGAACCTTTCAAACCTATAAATGCTTCCTTGTACCTTTGTGATAACAAGTTCCATACTGAACCTTTGAATGAGCTTTTAGAGTCTGATGACAAGTTTGGATTTATAGTCATGGATGGTAATGGCACGTTATTTGGTACGCTAAGTGGGAACACGAGAGAGGTACTTCATAAATTCACTGTTGATCTACCAAAGAAGCATGGAAGAGGAGGGCAGTCAGCTCTGCGTTTTGCTCGTCTGAGAATGGAGAAGCGGCACAACTATGTGAGAAAGACCGCAGAACTGGCCACCCAGTTCTTTATTAATCCTGCAACCAGTCAGCCCAATGTTTCTGGGCTGATACTGGCTGGTTCGGCCGACTTCAAGACTGAATTGAGCCAGTCTGACATGTTTGATCCTCGTTTACAAGCCAAGATTTTGAATGTTGTCGATGTCTCGTATGGCGGTGAAAACGGTTTTAATCAGGCTATTGAGCTCTCTGCTGAAATACTGTCCAATGTGAAGTTCATACAAGAAAAGCGATTAATTGGAAAATACTTTGAGGAGATAAGCCAGGATACTGGAAAGTATGTGTTTGGCGTAGATGATACATTAAAGGCTCTGGAAATGGGTGCTGTAGAAATCCTTATTGTGTGGGAAAATCTAGAGACCAATAGGTACATGCTAAAACACAGTACAACTGGGGAAATTATCATAAAACACCTGAACAAGGAGCAGGAAGCTGATCAGAGCAACTTCCGTGATCCTGAAAACTCTGCAGAGTTGGAAGTTCAGGAGAAAATGCCCTTGCTTGAGTGGTTTGCCAACGAGTACAAGCGTTTTGGTTGCTCTCTTGAATTCGTCACGAACAAATCCCAGGAAGGATCACAGTTTTGCAGAGGGTTCGGTGGCATTGGAGGTATCCTACGCTATCAGCTTGACATAAGATCGTTTGATGAGCTATCTGATGGAGAAGTTTACGAGGATTCTGATTGATAAAGCACTGCTCAAAGCTGGTATGATTGTTTGAGAGGCCTATACTAGCCCAGATGTGTTTCTTTACTATTTTTCACCTTTTGATCCCAAAAACAAAATATAGACAATGTTGGTTTGAGTTTTGCCGATTTGTGCTGTTTTTTTTGTCAATTGGATTGTGATTGTTTGTAATCATAACTTGTTCCACGCGACAGTTTCATCTGAATCCTCCCTTGAAGCGAATTGGTCGCCCTTTACCATTAATGCTTTGAGATTATGCGTACCAATTGGTTAAAAAAATGATAGTTCTTTAATAAAAAAATTCATTTTATATTGAGTATACGTAGTTTCAAATAATCATAATGTATGTGTCGGAACCGTCTATTTCGGTTGGGCCCGGAATTGGGCTTCGACTTGAATAATTGGGTTGGAGTCGTCACCAACCATTTTAAAACGAATTTAGGTGGGTCAGACACCATCTTACTTGATCTGTGTTGTACCAGAAACGTGTCGGGTTTGGGAGTCGATTACGGTCAAGGAAGAATTAGCACCCTTTAACCGCCCTTTCGGTACCAATTAATTTGTCGGTTGTCTTTAATTACGAAAATTGAAATTTAAAAATTCGATTCGAGTTACTTACCTTTGATTAGTTGGACCTCTTCTAAAAAAATCAAAAATATTAGATAAATAATAATAATAATAATAATAATAAGCCAATATTTAAAAAATAATAGTAATAAAAAAATAAAAAAGGAAAAAAATAAAAAAAATAAAAAAGGTAAATAAATAAGAAATGGTTAAAGTTTTTAAGTAATAAAATAATAATATGAAGAAAGGAAAAAAATAATAATGATAAAATAAAACAAAATAAAATTAGAGGACCAAATTGAAGTAAATTGGAATTAATGGATTCAATCAGTATTTAAAAATGAACTGCAAAAGAGAGAAAAAAAGAAATTAGGGGATCAATTCACGAAAAATGTAAAAATAAAAACTAGGATTAAATCGATTAAACTGAAAATTCGGGGGCCAAAATACAACTGGTGACTGAATCGAATTGCGATTCAAACCTACGGGGACCGCGGAGAGGATTTAAAAATCCCCTAATTGCACAATGGTCCCTCGTATATAAATTGGCCAAAAGACTCATTTTCAGCTCACTCTCACCATTTCTTCAGAATGTTATCTTCTTAAACGAGAGAGAACACTCTCCCTTCCCCGATGGCCGGCCACCAGCCGAAGCTTCCCCGCCGTGCCGCTGCCGCCACGGTCGTCGCTCGCGGCGGCCGGGAAAAACCCGAGCCACTCAGAACACTTCTCTCCACCCCGGAACTCGGATCTAGCCACCAATCCACAAAACAACCCCTAGATTGTAGTAGATCTGCAAAAATATACTCGACCCTTTACCTTCGCCGATGAAACTCTTCGCCTTCTCGTCGTGTTCCTCCCGGTTCCGGCATGATCTGGTTATTTACTAGTTTTGCTCTCCTCGTATGTGGGTTTTGAAATGTTTTTGTTTCGTCTTTGGTTGGTTTCGTAGTTTGCCGTAGGTACTGTTGATGTTGTTAGCTTTCTATGGGTTCTGTGTGGTGCCTCGGTTGTGGTTTCTGTGTCGATGATATTGGTTGTGTTGATGTTTTTTCTGTTCGATGCAGCCTTGATGATGGTGGTTTCGTGTTGTGATCTTTTGTTCTCTGTTTGGGTATTGGTTCCTGATGGGTTCTCTCCTCCCCTTTGATACCGTTCTCCTCTAGTATTTATATAGCCCGTTGGGAGGCTGTTTCCGGTGATTTCTGGGACGATCCCGGATATTTCGGGGTCATGGGTTCGTGGTTGACCGGCTATCCCGGGATGGGTCAGTCCCGGGATCCCGGCCGGCCGTTTCGGTGTTGATTGTTGGCCATGCGTGTCCCCTTGACTCCCCCATGCGGCGCATTGACTGGCATCATTTTTAGGGTTCCAAACCCTAACGCTTACTGGGCTGGTTCAGGCCTTACAAATCGAACTGAGACTTGTTGGACTGGATCTGGACCCCAAAAAAAAATTGATTAAATTAAATGAAATGAATAAAATGAAACGAAAATATAATATAAACTATATAATATATATATTTTAAAAATATTTTTTTAAAACTATATATTATATTCTTAAAAAATTTACAAAACTATATATTATATAGTTTTCAAAAATAATTTAAAAATATTATATAAGATTTCAAAAAATATTTTCAAAACTATATACTATATATATTTTTTCAAAATGATTTTAAAACTATATATTATATATTTTCAAAAGTATTTTCAAAAACTATACATTATATATGTTTTCAAAATTTTTCAAAAATTATATAATATATATATTTTCGAAATGTTTTCGAAACTATATAATATATATATATATATATATATATTAAAAAACATATTCAAAAATTATATTATATTATTATATAAATATAGAAAAAATAAATCCAGACGAAAATAAGTGTCTACAGCTGCCCCTCTTTGTCCTTTTTCGTGGAACGAAAAATAGGACAAAGATAAAAAGACACAAATTTTCGTTCGGTGGAGTTGAAGAATAACTCCCTGTCGAATTGAGTTGTGGTTGGCTCCCTCGTCGCGAGGTCGAGTCCAC